GCTGCACCTGCTCCAAACCTGCTGCAAACCCGATATGATGTTTCAATCGGCGCAGAATCCTACTCCGAATTCTGCACGCGAAAAATAAGTGAGATTTTACCCAAATAGTGAAGCAGTTTTTGTCTTTTTCTGGGTCATCTTGACCAGTTTGGCCCTGCATAACGACGTATCAGTGCTACGTGCAGAATGTGTGTCACTATTTGGGCAGGATGACCCATTAATTTTTCTGAGTGTAACTTGTTAATGAAGCGAAGGTCTTTTTAATATTCATGAATAGACGAATGTAAAGTAGACAGATATACATGAATATAAAACGCCTCATCACGTCACTTCGTGTCATGCTCTTGGATGAACAAATTTAATTATTCTTTAGATGTTTCTTTTTTTTTCTTCAGGTTTCCGGATAGTTTTCCTCGTACAAAATCTTTATTTTTTACGACATATTTGAGTATCACCTGGAGTATCACCAAATAAGTAGCACCAATTACCTTGAAAAAGCAACAATTATTGTTCTTGGGAAATCGATTCAAACTAAAAGTTACTCACCGTATCTCATATTCAATTTAAAGAAAATTCACAATCATCGCAGTACCGGTATCTTTAGGTATCGCAATATAAATATGAAACATTACAGCAAATGATGGAGGCACAATTGCCGACGTTGTAGCTGCGCCGCCGTCATCGCGATGTCGGAGTCAAGCAGAAGATAAGGCGACCGTAACTCTCTGAAGGGTTCACATAAATCGCATCACCTGCCAACCTCTGTCTCCCCCTGTCCTTGTGGGTCTCCTGCTTCTCTCCCTTCTTGGGGCGCGGCATACCATCTTACCTGTCACAACACTTGATAGTGACTACCATCCCCTACACCTACTACTCAGGACTGACAGTCTCTAGACCTACTCAGAACTGACGCCCCTACACCTACTACTAAGGTCTGACAGTCCCTACACCTACTACTCAGGACTGACAGTCTCCAGACCTACTCAGGACTGACGCCCCTACACCTACTACTCAGGTCTGACAGTCCCTACACCTAATACTCAAGACTGACAGCCTTTGACAGTCCCTAAACCTACTACTACTCAGGACTGACAGTCCCTAAACCTACTACTACTCAGGACTGCCAGCTCCTAGACCTACTACTCAGGACAGACAGCTCCTACAACTACTATTACTCAGGACTGACAGCTCCTAGACCAACTACTAAGGACTGACAGCTCCTAGACCTACTACTACTACTCGGGACTGACTGCACCTACACCTGCTACTACTCAGGACTGACGGACTGACAGCTCCTAGACCTACTACTACTCAGGACTGACAGTCCCTACACCTACTACTACTCAGGACTGACAGCCCCTACTCCTACTACTACTTAGGACTGACAGCCTCTACACCTACTACTACTCAGGATTGACAGCCACTACACCTACTACTACTCAGGACTGACAACCCCTACTCCTACTACTCAGGTCTGACAGTCCCTATACTCCTACTACTACTCAGGACTGACAGCCCCTACACATACTACTCAGGACTGACAGTCCCTAGTCCTACTACTCAGGTCTGACAGTCCCTACTCCTACTACTACTCAGGACTGACAGCCCCTACATCTGCAACTCAGGTCTGTCAGCCCCTACACCTATATACTACTACTCAGGACTGACAGTCCTTACACCTACTACTACTCAGGGTTGACAGCCCCTACACCTACTACTACTCAGGACTGAAAGCCCTGACATCTACTACTACTCAGGTCTGACAGCCCCTACACCTACTACTACTCAGGACTGAAAGCCCTGACAAATATATGGCCGCATTAAGCATGGAAGTTCAGCTTCGAGCGTTGCAATATCATAGACCTGAGATGACTTTCTATTAGCACTGCTGCCTCAATCTTGCGTTATATTTTATATTCTGATGTTGATATAATGTTTGAGTTATCAATTTTATACTTGATTTGCATTTAAGTGGTATATCCGTCATTAAATTACAGTTAACGTTGATGAAAATGAAGGTTGCAGGTAAGATGGATTAAGATTACATACTTAATTGTTTCGTACAAACGCGGTCTAAGTTTGATTATAATATTAAGTAGAATTAAATATGGCAATGTGAGAATACTACATACAGTGTTGTTTTTCCATATGCAGGCAACGTATGGGAAGCATCAACTGAATACAATAAAAGTCTTAAATCACACACCTAACGGTGTAAAATTTAGAAATTTCTATTCAGCAAAATTTTAATAAATTTCGTGTTTTATTCTCTACTCTGTAAATTTATTCGCCGTTAGATCATAATTGTTCATTGAAGTTTTAATTGATGATGGAGTAGCATTTAAATGAAGCTAACAATCATTTTCTTACCATTTTCTTTGCTCTTAAATTCTTAGTTTAATTGCGTTTTAATGAAATAAAATGATATCATAACATGTATGCATAACATTTAAAATTAATATTTTCTCTAGTTGATCCAAGGATATATGTCTGAAAAAATGCACATCTGACTCACGGCTTGCTTTGCAGACGCCGTACAGTAAAACAAACCGTCCTTCCGCTTTGTTTATTACCTCTCTGATCGTACGCACCCCTGAAAACACGCAACGTTTCAACAACAACAAAAATAATAATTTGCATTCTCCCTCCTAGCGACATCGTTGCGCGCGACACTCTGTACTGAACTTCACCGCCCCCGCCATTCGTCATGCCGCTGTTCGCCGGCATCGACCGTGAATTAAAATTCATAACTGCTCAAACGCACGGCAAACAAGAGCGCAAAGGTTAGCGTAAGCGCATCCTTTGTTTTATTATCTCAGCTCACCAATGTTAACGAAGACAAACAAACTCAAGCCAAAGTGCAGAATACTCTGCCTCGACCGCCGCATTCAATGAGGGCTTCTCAAAGTGCAAACACGACCGAGGCTGTTGCTAATCTTATGTTCATGCTCTCTTTTAATTCAAATTTGCAGGAAAGCGATGTGTTTGAAAGCATCCTTGCAAAGGCTGAGCAATAAGGAACCATGAATAGAGATTGCCGACCATAAAACGAGTCTAGTTTTAAATTCATCCACTTTTACCAAGAAGGACCGTGGCGTCTAGCGAAGCCATACCAGTCCCCATCCTGACTCAAACTTGGCAAAACTGAGGCTCACTTGCACTCTTTTCTTCATAAGTAGAGGGGCGGAGTGAGACAAGTGATGGCCCGGGGCGCGCATTTAATGAGATAAGCAAGTTAAAGTGAGCTTTCGGCCGCCTCTACATGAGATCCAAAGTCCTGGCTCGCACTCCTCTGCTTCTGTCAATTAAATAAGAGGCTAGCCGTCTTCCATTGTATTTGGCTCGTGTTTCTGACGCTAATATCAGAATATTCCATTTATCTGCCCGTAGTTTTACAAGGAGTAACGAGGGGTGAGCGCTCCCTTGAGAGCCGCCAGTTGGCTTGCAAGACCAAAATGAATATGGCAGCTTTGTCTTGGGCGCTAGTGAGACTTGCGATAGCGGGCGCCGCGTGTACAGGGCCATACTGGAGGGCGCCACTGAATTAGACATGCCTGATGGGTGCCACTGGAGGGCGCCACTGAATTAGACATGTGCCTAATGGCCATACTGGAGGGCGCCACTGAATTAGACTTGTGCCTGATGGGTGCCACTGGAGGGCGCCACTGGATTAGACATGCCTGATGGACGCCACTGGAGGGCGCCACGGAACTAGACATGCCTGCTGGACGCCACTGGAGAGCGTCACGGAATTAGACATGTGCCTAATGGGTGCCACTGGAGGGCGCCACTGAATTAGACTTGTGCCTGATGGCTGCCACTGGAGGGCACACTGGAGGGCGCCACTGAATTAGACATGTGCCTGCTGGACGCCACTGGAGGGCGCCACTGAATTAGACATACCTGATGGGTGCTGCTGGAGGGCGCCACTGAATTAGACATGTCTGATGGGTGCCACTGGAGGGCACCACTGAATTAGACATGCCTGATGGGTGCCACTGGAGGGCGCCACTGACTTAGACATGTCTGTTAGGTGCCACTGGAGGGCGCCACTTAATTAGACATGTGCCTGCTGGACGCCACTGGAGGGCGCCACTGAATTAGACATACCTGATGGGTGCTGCTAGAGGAGGCTTTTTATCTAAAAACTAACTCTGGATGCGCTGTATGAAGCCCTTTAAAATTAAGAGTAATTAGCATCTCTACTCCTTCAAGGCAACACTGAACGACCAAAAAATACTCGGACAAAATTCGCAATAAAATTATGAAAAAAAATGATGTACTTCATAATTTTTAGTGCTCCTGACGTAACTGTCTTTTGAAACTAATCCGTATGTTCGTTGCTACCATGAGTACGATTAAAAGTATTAATTCGATAGCATAATCACCAATTTCAACAGTTAACAAAAAAGGATAATTTAGCTAGTTAATTTAAATAGACCCTTTGCGTCTTTGAGAACATGGGAATAAATACTTTTTCGCTTTCAACTTGTCGAAATTTTAACTCAAAATTCAATAGCTTAATCACCAATTTCTACAGTTAACAAAAAAGGATAATTTAGCTAATTAATTTAAATAGACCCTCAATCATGCGTCTTTGAGAACATGGAAATAAATACTTTTTCACTTTCAACTTGTCGAAATTTTAACTCAAAATTACGAGATTCTGAATCAACAAAGGGTATATATTTCGATCATGCACTTAATTGTTCTAAATATTAAATTAAAAATCTAAATAACGATAAGTCAAGCTTTATTGAGTGATTTAATTTAACGCAAATAACAAAAACGGCACGTAAATCAAGTCACGCGAGCGCATCCATAACGTAAACTCGCTTGTACTGGCGCGTCTACATTCACCGCACGCACTGCATCAGATCTCTGGAATGTACATCTGATCCAATCACGCTTTTCCTCCAGCCAGCCTCAGCGACCCCAGCCTCTCCTGTTAGCCTCATGTTCAACCCTCATGTTCAGCAGCTCTTGTTTCATGATCCCTCATGTTCAGCTGTCTGATGTTCAACCCTGTCATGTTCAGCCCTGTCATGTTCAGCCCTCATATGTTCAGCCTTGTCATGTTCAGCCCTGTCATGTTCAGCCCTGTCATGTTCAGCCCTGTCATGTTCAGCCCTGTCATGTTCAGCCCAGTCATGTTCAGCCCTGTCACGTTCAGCCCTGTCATGCTCAGCCCTGTCATGTTCAGCTCTCTCATGTTCAGTCATCTCATGTTCACCCCTCTCATGTTCACCCTACTCATGTTCACCCCTCTCATGTTCATCCATCTCGTGTTCAGCCCTCTCATGTTCACCCCTCTCATATTCACCTCTCTCATGTTCACCCCTCTCATGTTCACCCCTCTCATGTTCACCCCTCTCATGTTCACCCCTCTCATGTTCAGCCCTCTCATGTTCATCCCATTCATGTTCATCCCTCTCATGTTCAAAGCCCGCTCATGTTCAGCCCTGTCATGTTCAGCCCTCTCATGTTCACCCTTCTCATGTTAAGCCCTCTCGTGTTCAGCCCTCTTATGTTCAGCCCTATCATGTCCTGCCCTCTCATGTTCACCAATCTCATGTTCATCCCTCTCATGTTCATCCCTCTCATGTTCACCCCTCTCATGTTCAGTCTTCTCATGTTCAGCTCTGTCATGTTCAGCCCTATCATGTTCAGCCTTCTCATGTTCAGCCCTCTCATGTTCAGCCCTCTCATGTTCAGCCCTCTCATGTTCAGCCCTCTCATGTTCACCCCTCTCATGTTCTTCCCTCTCATGTTCACCAATCTCATGTTCACCCCTCTCATGTTCAGCCCACTCACGTTCAGCCCTCTCATGTTCACCCCTCTCATGTTCATCACTTTCATGTTCATCACTCTCATGTTCACCCCTCTCATGTTCCCCCCTCTCATGTTCACCCCTCTCATGTTTACCCCTCTCATGTTCACCTCTCTCATATTCACCCCTCCCATGTTCACCCCTCTCATGTTCACCCCTCTCATGTTCATCCCTCTCATGTTCACCCCTCTCATGTTCACCCCTCTCATGTTCACCCCTCTCATGTTCACCCCTCTCATGTTCACCTCTCTCATGTTCACCCCTCTCATGTTCACCCCTCTCATGTTCACCCCTCTCATGTTCACCCCTCTCACGTTCAGCACGTACTCGTTCATCTCTTTCATGTTCACTTCTCTCATGTTCACCCCTCTCACGTTCAGCACGTACTCGTTCACCTCTTTTATGTTCATCCCTCTCATCTTCACCCCTTTCATGTTCACCTCTCTCATGTTCATCCCTCTCACCTTCAGACCTCTCTCGTTCATCCCTTACATATTCAGCCCTCTCATGTTCACCCCTCTCATGTTCATCCCTCTCATGTTCACCCCTCTCATGTTCACCCCTCTCATAATCACCCCTCTCATGTTCAGCCCACTCACGTTCAGCCTCTCTCGTTCATCCCTTTCATGTTCAGCCCACTCGTGTTCAGCCCTCTCATGTTCACCCCTCTCATGTTCACCCCTCTCATGTTCACCCCTCTCTCATGTTCAGCCCTCTCATGTTCAGCCCTCTCATGTTCAGCCCTCTGTTCACCCCTCTCATGTTCACCCCTCTCATGTTCACCCCTCTCATGTTCACCCCTCTCATGTTCAGCCCTCTCATGTTCACCCCTCTCATGTTCATCCCTCTCACGTTCTGCCCTCTCTCGTTCATCCCTTTCATATTCAGCCCTCTCATGTTCACCCCTCTCATGTTCATCCCTCTCATGTTCACCCCTCTCATGTTCACCCCTCTCATGTTCATCCCTCTCATGTTCACCCCTCTACCCTTCGACTTCCCTACATGTTTAAGAATTCCAGCCACGTCTCGAGGGCCAAAGTTCGTCGCTGAGAGTGCAATGGCTTATTGATAACTTCTCCGATCAAATGACTGGGCTTTTGCTGAGAGATATGCATGCATTATAGCTTTGCTCACTCCCGCCCTTTCCACCCCTTCTTCATTCCCCCAGAAGCCCTCATTCACACTCCCTTTCATTTTCCCTCCCGCTCTCTCCCACTCTTTCTCTCTACCAACTTTTTCGCTATATTGTTTACTTACTTCTCGAGCCTAACTTTTTCCTCTTCTTTGGGCTTCACTCAATATGCAAATTACTCTACAGTCCTGAACTTGAAACGCATCCTTGTGACTCGCTTTTGCTAAAGTGCTGTATATTGTTGACGAAATTCTGGTTGTGTAATTGTGAATACCCCATTCATGCTCGCATGAATAAAATATGGATTCTTTACGATTCACTATTTTAATTTAATTTTTTTAATTCTTCTCATTATCTTTTGATCGAAAATCTGTAAATAAACCTTCACCACACGCAAAAATATATCAGAGATTAAAAACAAACAAGTCTTATCGAACGGACGTAAGGTCGTGTTAATGTTCAAATTTACATTACATTAAATTTCTTAAAATTCAGGCCGTGTTCATACTTTTCCCATAGAGCAAGTGTCTCCGAAGGACAAGATCATTACTAATTACAACTTATATTTTTTAATTTATTCTTATTTACTGCTCATACGTTATTTTACAATTCAAATAACCGACCCAAGTTTTAAGATATGTTTGTCTTCGCATAGTTGCTTGTGCTGCCTGAGGCTCTTCAAGGCTAACCTCGATGAGTTCTAGGCGGACGCAATCGGACACGGGCGCATTTTATCAGATCTGAATCCAAGTTTATGAGATTGTCAAAACATGTTCGTGTCCCTCAACCTGTTGCCTGGTGTGGCTGTGGCTTAATTAGGTCTCCTCGCGGCGTGGTCGAAATGGTCGCCTATTGAGAAGTTTTAATTTCTTTTCAACAAGAAGTGAGAGATCAACTCTTCGATTAATTGTTGAATTCCCATTTTAGGCCAATTCGTTTTATATCGATATCGTGGCAACTGAGGAAGTTTACCTCAAAGTTGAACCTTTTTTATGTTTGTAATTCAGTATTTATATGCAGTCAACTAATACATAACGAGCAATGAAGTAAACGATTCTAAACTGAACCTGAACTCATTAACTTTACTTATTCACAGAAAATTATCTTGTGATCGAGCAACACTAAGAAAAAGCTACCTCTACATGAACTCGTAGATGACCTTAGAAGCTACTTCTACATGAACTTGTAGATGACTATAGAAGCTACCTCTACATGACTAGATGACTATAGAAGCTACCTCTACATGACTAGATGACTATAGAAGCTACCTCTACATGACTAGATGACTATAGAAGCTACCTCTACATGAGTAGATGACTATAGAATCTACCTCTACATGAACTCGTAGATGACTATATAGAAGCTACCTCTACATGAACTCGTAGATGACTATATAGAAGCTACGTCACCTACCTCTACGAGTCATCTACATGAACTCGTAGATGACTATAGAAGCTACCTCTACATGAACTCGTAGATGACTATATAGAAGCTACCTCAATAGGCACCTACCTCTACGAGTCATCTACATGAACTCGTAGATGACTATAGAATCTACCTCTACATGACTAGATGACTATAGAAGCTACCTCTACATGACTAGATGACTATGCAAGTCAAATAACGAGTTACAAGTCCATGACTCCCCAGAGACGGTATAATCCAGCACCACTTGGCCGCGCGAGGTCCACCGCGTTCGGTTATGGCGCCAGTTTACAGCCTCGGCCTGCAGGAAATGCATGCGAAGTTGAGTGAATGGCGCTATAACAGGAATGAAATGAATCGCGTGTGTAGCGTGTTGGCAGAGTGTAGCGTGTTGGCAGAGTGTAGCGTGTCGGCAGAGTGTATCGTGTTGGCAGAGTGTAGTGTTGTAGCGTGTTGGCAGAGTGCAGCGTTGTAGCGTGTTGGCAGAGTGTAGTGTTGTAGCGTGTTGGCAGAGTGTAGCGTGTTGGCAGTGTAGCGTGTTGACAGAGTGTGTGAAACGTGTAGGCAATGTGTAAAGTTTCAGCATGAATGTTGCCGCTTTGGTATAATGTAGCTTTCTATGTTAATTAATATTGTAAGCGCAATTGTGTCATCGCTGCTATGTGTTGATGGTGTAGGTGTTATATTGAACATTGATGGTGGTTTAATTGTGCTGCTGGTTGTTTGTGCTGTCATGCAGCCGTAGGTGAAAATGCTTCAAGAATTACTGCATGCTGATGTTGTACATCAGCATATGAACTTAGCCACTATGCAGTTACTGTAGAAGTTATCAGAGTTAAAGTTTCAGAATCTTGAGTCAGTCACTCAAAAAAAAATGTGTTATTTTGTTGCTCAAGTCGTTTCGATGTCACAATCACTGACTTCGCCTCCAGTCTAATACTTCACAAAAAATTTTTTTGACAAAAGTCTCGTGGTTTCTAAAAGAAAAGTCATTGCATGTTGAATATTTTCGAGCTAAATCAGGTCCAGAATTGAATGAGCTAAACACACGTGCAAGTTGATAATTATATTTCTTCAGCGACATCTTATAACGTGGAAATCAAGTCTAATAATGTATATCCAACAAAATTTAAGACTAGTATGCTATCTTACAGCCAAATTAGTGAACGCAAACCCTATATACTCTAAAACGAGTAAAGGAGGAAGACATTTATTTTAGTGAACAAGATTCTTTCTTTTTAGCGCATTTTCTCATTTATGGAAAAAATGCACTGTTGTGCTCGCCATGTCCGTCCGTCCGTCTGTCTGTCTGTCTGTCCGTCTATCCGTCCGTCTGTCCGTGACCTCAAGTTTTCGTCGACGAGAAAATGCGCTCTCTGTCACTCACTGCAGAGAGTACCGAGTTATATTTTTTCTAATTTTTCCAGATCTCGGAGTTGAGTTGCACATCATGTGCAGCATGTTTGGATCCCTATACCCATAAATTTTTCTTCTTAGTTACCAAAAATTATTGGCTGATTATGACAGAATATTTAAATGGGATTTTGTCGAGTCTTGTGCATAGTCGTATACCCGTATGCTTAGTTCGCAAGTCTCATCAACGATGGTCGGTTCAAGTGCATGAATAAAAATTTGAATGAAAATAAATTCCCTTGGAAAATATTCACCAAGTTGTATGTTTAATTCAGCAGCAGCTTTATTTTGTAGTCTTATATTTAGTACATCAACACCTACGCTTGCTTGACCATATATTGACCATAAATTACACATAATAAATATGCGCGCTGACAGCAACTCAATTGACAAAAAACCTATAGAAACTCACAGAATAGTTGGCTTCAAAAAGCACATCCCACGACGCTCGTTGCCGGAAGATATGAGATAAACATGATCAGGAGTCTTAAGGACATTCTTTATTACGATAATGGCTGCACTTTTCATCTAGCGTCCTTACATGAACTCGTGGTGAATTTTAATTTGAACCTCCGTGTGGCATCCGCCGTACTGTTCTTAAATTACACATTAACGAGGTTTTGGTTTTATAAAGTGCCTTTAAAGAATAAACGAAACCCGCTTTAATGGATTTTTTATTCTATAGAGTGTTTTAAGGATGAACGAAACACGCTTTAACGAATTTTCGGTTTGATAAATTAAGTGTAGTGTAGCGTGTTGGCAAAGTGTAGCGTGTCGGCAGAGTGTAGCGTGTTGGCAGAGTGAAGTCAGGAGTCTTAAGGGCATTCTTTATTACGATAATGGCTGCACTTTTCATCTAGCGTCCTTACATGAACTCGTGGTGAATTTTGATTCGAACCTCCGTGTGGCATCCGCTGTACTGTTCTTAAATTACATATTAACGAGGTTTGGTTTTATAAAGTGCCTTTATAGCATTAACGAAACCCGCCTCAATGGATTTTTTATTTTATAAAGTGCCTTTAGGATGAACGAAAAATGCTTCAAGAATTTTTGGTTTTATAAGATGCCATTATAGGTTGAACGAACTACGCTTCAACGAATTTGTTATTTGATAAGTGCCTTTGAGATGAACGAAACACGCTTTAACGAACTTTCATAAATTCATAAATCCACTTTAGAAACGAATGAAACACGCTCTAGCTCTTTGATGTCTCATATCACTCAGTAGCGATCCATGAATTTTTAATGAAAATATTGACATATGTTTATCCTTAAATAATTCCTGCAATAACAGTTGAAATGGCAGCCGTGTATAGGGTCGCTGCCCCCGTCCTTATCTCTATAAGATTCAGAATTCAAGGAGCATGTAACACGCGTGGCGTAGGTATACACGAGCTGATGTGTTGCTATGGAAATAAGGCCGTGACTCTGGCAATGGATTGCAAGCATCAGAGGCTTATCAGCGCATACACGACACGTACGCACTGCAGTCCATCCGTGAGTGCGGACCTTGTGAAAGATACAGCTTGTGCAGACAAATAAATCATATCATCACTATCAAATTATATCATCACAAATTAATCTGTGCATCTCTATCGGATCATATCATCACAGTTGAATTATATCTTCGCTTATCACAACCAAATTATATCATCACAAACTATTCTGTGCATCTCAAACGGATCAGCGTCATCACAATTAAATTATATATCATCACAGCCAAATTATATCATCACAATCTGTGCATCTCTATCGGATCATATCATCACAATTGAATTATATCTTCGCAGGTGAATCATATCATTACAATCTGCGTATCATAAACGGATCATATCTTTACAACCAAAGTATATCATCACAATCTGTGTATTGCAATCGCATAAACGCGAATAATTGCGTCAGTTAATTTAAGATAATCGTAAATTGCTTTGAGCACAATGGACCTACCTTTTCAGCATGATACCCTTTCTTTCTACCTTTTTTAGAATGAACATAATCTCCGCAAACCAGTATGCAGGACAAATATAGGAATTACTATCGTATAGTTACAATTAATATCTCTACCGCATAATTCATTGATTTCGTACCTTTTACTCTGC